ATAAAAAGTGCTAACTGGGAGTTAACAAGCTCAGTTCTGTGACCTTAATTAGTTAATTAGAACCCTCCAGCCTGCCTGATACTGACAAAACCATGCTAGGCAAAGAGCAAGTGCTAGCACATTTCTATCTGTGTTCCTCATTGTATGCCTGCTTATTCTCTTGTAATCCCTTCCTCTCCAATGAATGTAAATGCAAACATTAATTCTCTTCTTGCTAATTATCCCAGCACTGGCAAGAACATGCCATAGGATGGGGAAATGGAAGAAAAGGACTAGGAATTTTTTAACCAGTTTCCTTATGAGTCATTTTTCCCTGCCATTTTAGCTCACCTGGCTGTCTGGAGTTGTATCCTTCCTTAAGCAAAGGAAAGCTGAAATAAAATAATAAGCAGTGTCGTGGCTGTGTGATTTTCACTAGCAACCATTTTGTTTAATGACCAATTTGCTGTCCCAATTACAAGTGCTGAATGAGGATCACCTGTACAATATGTCTATTTAAGTTGAATCCTTGAATTCCCATGAGATTTCTAAGTGACAGGGTTATTGCAAGAACCTTCACGACAAAAGGCAAAGTTATTTGTATAGGCCACTGAAAGAAGGCCAAGTCATGATGAAGGGCTACTTGCAGGTGAATGAAAATTGTATTCATGGTATTAGGATAAACTGCAGGGTTTAGATAATAAGGACAGAAGTTAGAAATATGGAGACACAAAAAGGATAAATGTTAAAATGGAGATTTGTTAAACTAGATAAGTTAAATATTGTTATTATAGTATTAATGTTATTGTGATGAATACCATTGTAAACACTTTGATTACGTTTGCCTAAAAACAATTGTACCCAGACAACACAGTTTGTTTGAAATTGAATTTTTATATGTTATACAAATAAAATAAATAAAACATGAAAAAAGGAAAAACTGCAGGGGCTTGTCCATATATTACTGGGAGTCAAGACTGATTTGAAGGCACAAAACCCCTTTCTCACTAGCGGAAAAAAACAATATGGAGATTTAGTTCAATTTAGTACTTTAGGAAGGTAAATAAAAATAACTTAATGCAGTTTTTAAAAATTCTTCAAGTTCTTTCATTTCCAGAGAACCTAGAATGACTTGGATAAATTAGGACAAGTACAACAGCAACAACTGAAGAGGTACTTACAGGTAAAATGCCACTAACTGATTCAAAAATAATTGTATTGTCACTCTCCCCAAACTTTTTAGCAAAAATGGCCAATATATGCCCTTCAAATTTGGACGCTTCAATTCTCAGTAGAACTAGAGAATCAGTATCACTAAAATTAGTGTGTTACTTATCAAGAACAAACATCCTGCTTCTTCAATGATGCATTCTTTGAACCCCAATTCCTGTTTGAGTTCAGTAGTACTGAATGAGAAGTAAAACTGTTGTTCTCAAAAACTTCTTCAAAGGAAAGTCAGGCCATTAACAAAATAACAGGTTTTACCATATTTCAGACCAAATAACAGGGACAACACAAAACCTAAACTGCTTTTGCAGAAACAGTCTATAATATCCTCAGCCATGAATTACTAACTTTTTTGAGGGCAGATAAAAATAAGCTTCAGGCAGTTTATTTGCCAAATTTAGAATATTCAGAGTCATGACAAACATCTGGCAACAATTCTTCCTGGAATTTAGTCTTTTTTTCTGACTGGCAACAAGATGCAGACTATGCTAAGCAGTATTCAATCTATTGGAAGAATAATGTCTAATAGGATTTGAAAACATTAATCCTGCCACACCCCGCATTTCTAAAGCTGATCGCACTTTCTCACTGTATAGAAGATGTTTCAAAATAAATTTTATTTTATGAATATCCAAAAAAAGAATCAAAATATAAATGTATCTGTTGTTGTCAGACAAAAAGAAAAACATAAAGTTAGCTTCCATCTTCCTTTTCTTTCTTTGCCACATTGAAAACACTGGGTGCTTGCCAAATGTTCTCCCAGAAGCTGCTACAAGTAATATGAAGAGATTGTTATTCTGTTTATTTATTTATTTATCGTATGGTACGTTTTAGCCAGGGATCACTGAGGTGGCTGGCTGCCTCTGTGAAAGAAATTTTTTTGGGGTGGTGTTATCTTTACCTTCAGGACGCCTGAATGGCAGTAGGCATTCGGAGGGGAGGCTCCTTTCTTGTCCCTACATGGTTTATTCACTCACAGGAATCAAACCACCGAGCCGCCGACCTCAGCGGTGCGCAGGCCCAGTCTTTTACCACATGAACCACTGCAGCCCTGTAACTTGCTACTATAACTGACTCACAAGAAATGCCAGTTTTTCTCCCCAGTTTTTCAATAACAAAACTAATTTCTGCTAGACATTGTTTCAATTGTGTATCAATTATATATCTTTTATATCTTCCTAGATAATTGAAAGTTTAATTTTTCTGTAAAATTTACAAAAAATCACAACTAGTGCAAAAACATTCAGATATATTATTCAGTATAGTGCAATAAAAAGATGTTCTAATATTCAAAAGGGGTTCTTAACTTTCGTTCTCAAAATGTGATAAATTGAACCATATGCAGACTTCAAATATATACTGATTGACAAGACATATTTTTACACTCTATTAAAACTGCACAAAATTCACATAGATATTCTATGCTAAATGGATAGTGATAAATTGTTTTGAATAACAAAATCTTTGTCCTTTGGGACTCAGAGATTTTCTCATGACAAGTTAGGAAAACCAGACAAACATTTAGGATTATTAAACTCCATAAAAATGACCTGAATCCAGCAAAGTTCCACAGCTATTGATCAAACAAGTTGGGCAGCAACATTTTTTTTCTTTCCCACAGTACAAGGTCTAACACAATATTTTGTAGAATTGAAAGTCTCTCTGGAATAATGTGAGAATTTGTGCTACAGTTTGGAAAGTAACAAGGAATTATAAGTAATAGCTATCTCACTCTTCTCTTATACTCCTTGATTTATGACAATAGAGCCCAAAATTTGTTGCTAAGCGAGACATTTGTTAAGTGAGTTTTGCCCCATTTTACCTTTTTTGCCACAATTGTTAAGTGAATTACTGCAGTCCTTAAGTTAGTTAACAGAATTGTTAAATGAATGTGGCTTCGCTATTTGCCTTCACTTGTCAGAGGGTTGCAAAAGGTGATCACATGGTCTCAGGACACTGCAATTGTCATAAATATGGGTCAGTTGCCAAGTGTCTGAATTTGGATGACATGACCATGAGGATCCTGCAATGGGTGTAAATATTAAAAATGGTCACTCACTTTTTCAGCAGCATAACTTTGACCAGTCACTAAAAGAACGGTTATAAGTCAAGGACTACCTGTGATTTTATCTACAAACAATAAATATTTTAAAATATTCTGGCAATTATGAGAGAAAACAATTGTCAAGAAAAACAGCTATACTGTCCCCAAACTTATGAAAATATAGGAATTTTCCATGCCCTTTGTATAACTGGAAAATGTGTTCTACAATTGATGCATAATGTTTGTGCACAAAACATTATTATCCAAAGACAGTTGGCTTTAGGAATACGATTTGTTTTTATGATAATCAAAGAAAAAAATGGTGATACATATCTTATTGAGTTGGGAAGAACAGTATACTTCATACAAATTGTATGGGGTTAGACTAAGATGACCTTCAAGATCTTCCAGCCCTAAGATTCTATGAAATTGCCACCCTAGAGACAAGCAAGCAATGCTTTCTCTGACAATACTAAAAATGTAGAAAACTGGTCTATATTGACTACTGGCACTGTTCTTTAGCATTATAGCCAATGCAACAGCCTAAACAACACATTTGACAATTATTGAAATACATTTCGGAAGCTTCTAGTAAGTCATTCACTAAAGATGAAACCAGTGCTTTTATGGTTATGGAAACCTTCATTAGACTTTGTTCTATTTTTGAGAACTTTATATTTATAGTACTTTTTTATGATAAAGGAACTAACTGTATCCCTTATTCATAATGGATATTGGTTTAGATTTTTGAAAAAAAAAATCCAAAAATCAGAAAATTGCCACAAAGTACCTAATATCAATATCAGTATATCCATGACAACTCTGAATAGGGGAGCAAGGAGAAAATTAACTAGTTCAGCTAAACAGCTTCTTGCCTGGTTGTACTTAAGGAATATAATATTCTATATAATACTAGCTTAATACCTGTGCTTTGCTATGAAACTATGTGGGTGAGCTTAGTTTTTGGGGAGTAAAATAAGGGGGAAAACAATTCTGTCCCTGCCTACCAGCATCCATCGGTATTCATCTGGCTAGCATCCTGTCAGAGTGTGAGAGAGTTCAGGGCTGTTTGGAAACTGAAACAGTATTTGCTGTGTGAGCAAGATGACAGCAAGGAGCCTGGGCGTGGCTTAGCTCAACTGTTCTGTACTAAAGCTGCTTGGTGCTGTGAAACTAAAACTGAAACTCCTCTTCTCTGTTTGTGTTTTGCATTTGGAAAAGATTTCTTTTCAGGTGGGAAGGGGGAGTAGAACTCCTTAGCATCAGAGCATGTTAATAATAATATACAAAATACTAATGCTCTGATGGTCATTTTGAAAAATCCTTTCTTAGTGAGCACCTAGAAGCCAAGAGGAACATACGTGCCAAATTTCAAGTTTGTAGGCTTTACGGTTCTGGAGATTTTGTGATGATGCGCGACTGGTATTTCATTTTTATACAGTATATATAGATTTCACTGCAAGCGGAGCATGTCACCTCCTTTTAAAAAATTAAATACAACTCCATCTTTTTTTATTCCAAGTTCTACAAAATTACATAGGACACTTTGCCTCATAAAATTTAGAGAACTCTCCCCAAGACATGTATACACATATATACATCTTAAACAAAGCATTCCTTCCAATTTAATTCCAGTGTTAAATGGTTTTTAAATACATACGCCATTCAAACAAAAAATTCTCACTCAAATGAATCAATTTTCCAAAGACCAAGTTAAACATTTGGACATAACACCTTGTTGAAATCTTACCTCAATATCAAGTACTTCCTGGGTGTTATCCAAAAGCTTGACTTTGATTTGTATAGATCTTTCATATGTTCTAGGAGATGTTGAGACCATGGCAGAAGAAATATTCTGTCCTGGTTCCAGAGTACTCACTCCGGAATTTTTCTGCACTCCCAAACGAGATCCTGGAGTTTGCAATACTCTGTAAGTGCCTTCGATTTCTCCCATTTTTCACATCAGGCAATAATCCAAATAACCTAAAGTGAAACGCAAGGATTAGATTTTAATATGAATACTCAAAAATTAAATAAGCAAAATACTGCTTTTTTCCAGTCTTGGAAAAGTTTGTAAAATAATGAAATAATTAAGAGATCCTATGTTAAGAATAACCAATCTTTAAGGGCTAGCTGTCACATGAAGGAGGTGTATGACGAAGGATTGCTAGTGTGCAAAAAAATGAAACCAGATGGGTAGGGCTATGTTATATATACGAACTTGCCCATGATTTTTCTGGTTTTTCTTCTAAGCTTTTAAGGTGTGGATTTTTTTCTGGGCTTTTAAAACTACTTTTGTACTGCTTTAAGGCCTTTAAAACTAATTTTAAGGCTATTTGTAAGGCTTTTAAGGCTACTTTCAAGCTTCTAAGGCTAATTTTTTTTTACTATTTTAAGGCTTTAAAAGCAACTTTTGCTTTATAACACAGTTGTGTATATTACTAACTCAAAATGATAGGAAGCTAAATTTTAGCTTTGAAGTAGAAGAACATTCTGGAAGAAATAAACAAGTTAAAATTTAAATTCACAAACCACCAGTTCCGTAATTTTCTTGTACATTCAGTAGCCAAATCAATGAATATTGTTTAATCATACCTGTGCATCATTCATCTAGTTGAAAGTTTGTAACAATGTACTGTAACTACATCTGAGATACTAAAATGAAATGCCATTCACATTCAGGATACAGCATGTTCACTTCAAGTTATTTACTCAGTCCTCAGGCATATTCATATAGACCAGAAAGCAAATACAATGTCTTGAATTCGTAATACTGAATCAAAGATTGGAATCAAAAATTTCATTTCCAAATGTACATGAAGCATATTTTCAAACATGGATTGGATGGCCAATAAATATTGTTAAATATAAATAAATGTACTATTGGAGTCTTTTACACATTGTTGCAAGAAGATATATTAAGAGCAAAATATGACAACTAACCCAAAAGCACTATTTCAATTTCAAAGAAAGGTAAACTCAGGTATATTTTGGTTCAGAGGATATGTAGTTCATACCAGTAAAGTTTTATTCTCACACACACATGCACACATGCAGTTTCCTGCCTTTATATGATTCTTAATATTGCAATTATATGCATATTTACATGACTTACAAATAATGCCTTAATATCCAATTGCATAAAACTTTGGTATTACTGAAAAATAATTGCTCCTAAAAAACTTGTTTTACAATTATTAAAAACTAATACAGTATGTAAATTTATATTCATTTCTTTAGTAATAGCCATTACATAGTAAGGAAATTGTTTTTTTTTTTAAATCAAAATCACCACTAATATTTTAGTTCAATTAAATAATTCAGCTCAATCAAAATAGTACAAGCACAGGCAATAATCTCATAACCTTTCCATTTATAGCCCACTGAATATCTGAACCTTTGCCCATAGTTGTCTGTGGCATTAAAAAAAGGGAAAGGAATCTTGGCAGCCTCACTGGATAAAATAAGTCATTGTGGAGCTTTCCCCAGTCTGGGCAATACATCCTTCAGATGTATTGGCAATGCTCATCCTTAGCCAATGGCTCCATATGAGTTTGCAAAGTCCACTCTGTCCATAGAACGTACAATGAATATCAATCATTAATTTAAAATCTCTTTTTAAAAAGGCTATTATTTTAATTACTAATATCTTAATTTTTATGTTAGTGCCATGATGTGCAAAATTACCATTTATATTTTAGGCTTGAAGTCTACATTCAGTTTCCAGGAAAGATATTGTAATGCACTACTAAAGCAAAGCTACTCGAGTACATTTAGCAGTCAATTCAAGGTACCAGTTTTGACCTTTAAAGCCTTACATGGCATGGAACCAGTTTATCTGAGAGACTGTCTCTTCAAGATTACATCTACCCATCCAATCAGGTTCAACAGGAGAAGCGTACTGCAAGTCTTGTCTACAAAATATTTTCATCTGACAGGACCTCGGAAGGGAGTCTTTCCTGCCATGACGCCTACCCTTTAGAACCTAATCTCCTCGGAGGTAAAATTAGTCCCAACCCTCATGACCTTCTGGAAAACATGTTTTTTCCAGCAAGACTGGGAATCCTTTGGTATCCATGCTGGCTGTATTATACTATATATACTGTGATCTCTTCTTTGTCATGGTCTTGTTTTATCCATGATTATTGTTTTAATTATTTTTAATTAGTTTTGTAGTATCTTTTAAAATAGATGTTATTTGTATCTGAAGTTTTTTGAAGTTTGACTTGAGGCTCATGATTTAATTAGGGTGATTGCTGGAATCCTGACACACTGCCCAGAATCACTTTGTGAGAGATGGACAGCCAGATAAATTTGACAGATAATAAATGAATAAATGAATTTGCTAAAGTGAAGTCTGAGCTTTCTCATTAAAATAAAAGGTTATCCTTTTAAAGAACACCAAACAGCTGCTAATTGTTCATCCATACTATCCTGAATGATACCAATTGTTTACTGACAGTAAATATTAATATCTAATTATATTGGTAAAGTTCTTACTTTTTATTGCCTTTTTAACAGAAGATGGGAGAAATTTATTTCAAAAATAAATTTCTCCCATCTTCTATTAAAAAGGCAATAAAAAGCAAGAACTTTGCTTTGAATGAATCCTAGTAGTCAAGAGATGTGCTTTGTGGAACAATCCAATTCTGGTTCTAAAAAATAATATGTTTAGAAAACAAAAAAAAGAACTTGGATCTTCATTCAATCTATGTGTGCTATTATACAACTAGAACCCTACTAATGGGCCAATATCAACAAAATTAATATACCATCTAAGGGATCAATCAAGGTCAAGAAATGTTGAACAATAACACACATACCCCTCCATTCCACTGGGTAAAGGCTAAAACTAGCTGGGATCCAGCAATGGCCAATCTAGACGGAATCATTATATAAACACTCAGCAAATGTTTCTGACTCTCAACTTGAAGAAAAACAGGGCGAAGTCCATTGATTTACAAAGGCAGGAGGAAAAGGCTAAGATTTAAACCCCAGAACAAACATACAGGCCTGATAGATTGGTCTATGTATGTGACATTTTTTGCTGCAATAAACCAGCCTTTTCAGCCATAATGAAATTTTGAAATTTCTACTACAAACAACTTTCTTAATACATGGTTTAGTCTTTGAAGAGTTTTTTACTTGGCTTGTGAAGTCTGACCCACAATAGCATCATCCTTCCACTATGCCTTTTTGCTTCAATGGTTTAACACCAATCAAGACATGCTTTTGTTTCTTCTGCCTAATAATTCAACAATTGCAGTCTCCCAACCCCACCAACTTGACACTTAGCCAAGTATTCTGCTTGGACAATACCATCTATTGAGATAACCAAACAAAAGTGACTCAAAGGTGCTTTTTCAAAAGACAACTTGACTTTGTTTTTCCTAGGAAAAACAAAGTCCAGTTGTCTTTTGAAAAAGCACCTTTGAGACAACCATGACCTGGATGACTGAGGATCTTCACAGACAAACAGAAACAAGAACCTCAAATCTCTCTCAAATCTCTTGCCCAACTTTTCCAGAGAAAAAGTTCATTATAACAGAAAGCCATCTCATCAGTGGAAAACTTCTAAAGGCAAGAGATACATTTCTGGTTTTCCCAGATAAAGTTACAGCTATATCCTACTTCAAAAGGCCAAGCCTTTTGGAGGTGTAAGAAACACTGCTAGGATACAGTTAAAAGTTTTTCAAGGACTACAATGCAAAGGTATGTTACAGCAGCAAGATTTCCCCTCAAAGAAGGATAGGGAAGAGGATCTGCAATGATGAGGTCATTCTATTTTGAGAACTTTTATTATTTTGTGGCCTGAATCCAGGCTACTTTTGCTGCCCAGCTATTTTTTAGACAAGTCCAGTGAGACTCTTGGGAAAGGTAACCTTCCATTTGAACCTTCCCTTGTGTCTCCAAGGAAGATTTGTGTCCCCAAAATGGAGCCTTTCCCTTCTCTCAACCAAAGGGAACATAATCTTGCCTCTCTTTTTTTTGTGTGTGAAAAAAACTGATTAATAGTAGAGAAAAACTTTCAACAAGAATACATCTTTTCAACTTCTATGCAGTAATTTTGTTCTGTTCCTCTTCCAGTTCTGCCTTCTCAAGCAAACCCTGCTCTTCTTAATGATTTTATGTAGACAAAAAATTGAAATACCAATCAGCACAGCTAAGGGTTATTTGGAGGCTTTATTTAGATTTTTTAAAATTATTGCCATACTTTAATTTTATCTGTTTGTTGATCACAAATACTTTTTAGTTGGAAGAGATTGTTATATATATGTATTATCTAGATTCAATTCATCAAAATGGTTTTTGACAATTGCTTAAAAATCTTATTCATAATACTTATATCGAAATAGACAAATAAATCCACTATACAATATTGAGTTTTATTTTAAATGGTAGTTTGAATTTTAATTTAAATGGTAGTTTAGGAAACTAATTGTAATGAAGACACTTTCTATCACTTTTATTAGCCACCAGTGTTACAAAACATTCTGCATGCAATAGTTTAAAAGATGAAGTCATATACATGCGACTTCTAGTACACTGCAAGTCCTGCAAGAAAAATATGATTAAAGATGCCAGGGCAATAAAATGCATTTATGTAAGAAATTAAAGGGGTCTAATTCAATTGTATTTATGTTTATTAGACGTAGGTTTCACTCAATAAGGTTCTGAGCAGTATGCAATTAAAATACTAAATACAATACACAACTAAAAACAGTAATGAATAAAAGATGAAAGGCTGTAACTAGCCAAACTTAAAAGTACTTTCAGGTGAAAGAGTTTTCATTTAACTTGTAGAGTTAATTCTTATCAGAGTTCCACAGCTATGCATTATTAAAACATTGCTGTATTCTTGCAAAAAATATGCATTGGGTATTTCTCCTGGTCTCAATGTATAGGATGAGAAATATGGATATGAAAGTAGGCATTTATTCCATTTAGTCAGAATGGAATTAGTTTATGATGAATTTTAAAAAGTCAAGGTTAGTACTTTGACTGGATCCAAAATAAAGAAGTACAAACAATATTTTATGACAAATAATATAGGGCTCATCGAGGACCTGATACAATATGGGTTTTCGGGGGAAATGAAGGTAACATTCTGGGAACAGCAATCTTACTTGAACAAAGGTGAATACACTACTGGAGTATCCATAATCTGTAAATCTGCTTCAGGAAAAACAATATATGTAATAGCACTCAATTATTTCTTAGTATGTAATATTGTAACAATCTTTGTGTCTTATCTCATCTGAATGACCCGTCAAACTTGGTCATGTGATGTACCAGAATTGGAAACAAAACTATCATTCATGTAAGTTTTACGGTTGTATAATGTTCCAGATTTAATTATAAAAAGTTGGCTTCAGAGTGCCAATCTAATGCCCATCTTCAACTTGTTAAAATAGCTACAGTTTTTCCCCCCCAGAATCACACAGTAGTTACAGAGGGCAGCCCTATGATTGCAGGAAAAGATGCAGTAACTTGAAAGAGTTGCAGGCAGATGCTATTTTTGTGCTCCTGTGCTCTCCAAAGAATCTTTTCTGAATTACTTCAAAGGCAGTGCACAGTCCTATTGAAGTTTTTAACATTTTGCTGTATTATTTTGTTAAACAATGCTTAGAAACCACAGAGAAGTTAAGGGATGAAACAGAATATAATTTAATACCAACATGTATGAAAAAAAACTCTTGTAAATTTAGAAAAAGGAATGATCATTGATTTCAAATAAAAGGCAATAAATATTTTATGCAAATTTACAATTAGAGTAACTATAAAAATCCAATATTTGAAATCAAACAACACATTTGTTTCATTCTAAAAGAGAACTGTAATATACAAACACACACACATACGGTATACTAAAGGTAAGGCCCCACGGGCCAATGTTAATATCTTTTACTATCTTTTTTTAGAGGAAAATGTTATTGTACTAAAAAATGTACAAAGCTCATGTATCAAAAAAGTAAGGAAATGTTTAGATGAAAATGACAACCACTTCATACATTTAATTTAAATTTAAAAGTTCCTACTGTAATTTAGCTATAGGTGGCACCTAACCAGTTTCTAAAATATTCTCTTTGCAGCAAAATTGTAAATCATCATGTGGGCCTTACAGCAAATAAATACATATGCAAACCTTGAGAAAACACAAATGAATATAATCAAGTTTCTTGTAATAGCTAAAGCAAATTAGAAAAGATAGTTAGATGCAGAAATGTTCAGGAACAATGGTTTGTACTTATAATTACAACATTTAAATGTACAGGAAAGACTTCCACAAGCTTTTTAGAAGAAAAACAAAATAGGCTGTTTAAGGTCTTGGAAAAACTGACTTGCATTGTCTGCATTAAAAACCAAAATGATAATGACATGAGTCAGCTTTTAAAACGCAATTTGTGAAGAATGATCATTATGTTATTACAAAGATATTTAAACACACAGCTGATTTCAGCAACTAGCACGGAATCAGGACAAAGATAACCTAACTCTATAATGAAAAACAGTTTTAAGACAAACCTCTCTACAAAGTTTCAAGTTGTGCGGCATACTTGGAAGCAATCACCAAGATTTAACACAGCCATCAAACCTTGGCTGCAAAGATTTAGCGGACGCACAGATTGTGGCAACCACTGGTTCCAGGGCAGAAGTCTCAGGAATCCCATATGATACCCATCTGGTATGGGTAACGCTGCTGCTTGCCCCGCCCTGTCAAAGGAAGTGGCAGGGGCCAAAGCAACGACCATAGCTTTATATTTTCCAGGAAAAGATTGCTAATCCACCCCCACGTTCGACCTCGCGCCCCCACCTCATCATAAATCCTCGGGCCACGGATCCTAGGAACAGGCAGGGTTGACAATAGCGAAGGGGCTTCATCTAAAAAGGCCCCCTTTCAACACGGCTCTGAAAGAGTGAGCCTCCCCCCCCCCAGCACAGATCTCTGTTGCGGGCATCACCCCTTCACCACTGTGCTCGTTCCGCCCTTTTCTCGATCGCGCCCTCACCTTAAACCGCCGCCAAGAAGGACGCCGACGGCTGCCACTCGGTCACTCCTTCGCCCGCTCGCGCCTTCCCACCTTCGCCCCTTCCCCGCTTCAGAAGACCAGCGCCATCATTGCCACCCCTTTTGCCCGATACCTGTTTCTATTGGCTGCCACAGACTTCCCGGGGCGGGGCTTCGATTCCCCCCACCCACCTACCCCCACACACCCGGGCTCCAACAGCCCAGTCAGCAACCTCGGAGGAGGGCGGAGTCTCCCTGGAGTAGCACGCGGGCGTGTTCTCTCGATTATGGGAGCAGCTCAGAAAAATGCGTGGCGACAAGAAACTACGGGCGTTATCCCTAGTGGCATTCGGGACCTTGCAGGGTTGGGTGCGGCATGTATTATTCGTGAAGAATATGTGAATAGAAGGCGGAAGATAGGTTTTCTCAAATTAATAAGCATGGCACCTTGCGAAGTGTGATGTTTTCGACTGCTTTTATTATACTGATATAATGTGAGAAAAACATAAGTATACCATTGCGTTATTCCTTTTCAAAATCCCCCACTCGTCCCAACTAATGCAAGGGGAAAGTAGTTGTCATAGCTACTTACCTCAGAGATGGGCTTAGCATGGGGCCACTAAAACAAATGAGAAACTCTGCTTTTCAAAGTTTTAGCTGTCCTGAACTAGAGCTAATAACATCTACAGCTAGGTGGCCAAATGTGATGAAAAATGGAAATCATAGATCAGCTGTATTTAATATATGGTAACAGTCAAACACAATATGACTGCAGGTGTTCATGCAGTTCTTAAGCTGCTTCCACCTTGTGGTTTTATTTTTATGGCCTTTTGCTTTTCTAGTGAACCCCAACTGATGCCAAGTTTGTGCTCTAAAGAGCCAAAGCGGGGAAATAAAGGAGGAAGGAGGCAATGCTTCCAACCAATCTAAGAAAAAAAATTGTAATTCTCTTGTTTAAAAAAATAGGTGGAATTTTAGAAAACCTTTATTCCAGAAAATAAAGTTTTTAAAAGCACTAAAATTAAGGCATTACTGAGCACATTTTCATTCAGTATTTATAGCATGGAACACTAACAATCCAATTTCATTTTAATTCTGTGATGTTGGCTTTGTCTCATTTCCTAGAATATGATTTTCACGTCCTTTATCATGCTGTTTTTCTATACCATAAAATACTTCCTAGCAAGAAAACACAGAAAACATCAGGGACAATGCACCCTTATGCTGGCAGCTTTCTTATTACAGCAAAGATTAGATTCATAAGAAACTCACAAGAATTGGAATGGACTTTGGAAATCAAATCATCTAACACAATCCAGCTCTATGATCACTCAATACAAGATCTACAATGTCAGATGCTACTAAATATCCCTGGTAGATAGCCAAGTCTTTGCTTAAATACTTCTATCCAAAAGGGTACAACTATCTTTTTGAACAGTATCTTACATTATTGCATATCTCTTAAGAATTAGTAATTTTTTGCCCCTAAAATTTTCTCAAAATTTGCTTCCCTGCAATTTCTACCCAATAATGCTAATGTTGCCACATGAAGCAACACGAGAAAAACCTGCTCAATCTTTTGCATATTATCCTTTCAGGTGTTGCTGAAGATTGCTATTATTTATTTCCTTTACCTTTTCTTCCTTGGGCAAATATATTCAGTTGTTTCAACTTTTTTCATTAGGCTTGGTTTCCAGCCTCCCTGTACTCCAAATGATATAATACAAAACCAGAATGGGATGGTTATGACACAATAGTTCTGTTAATGCTTTTCTAGCAGTGAAAACTCACTTTTGCATAATATTTGGCTTGTTCTGCTGTTCTCAGGTCTTTCCCATTACTGACTTGTGTGTTACGTTTTCTTTCGACCTAACTGCAAGATAGTACATTTAAGATACAAATACAACCTAATAATAATAGCTAATCTACTTTGTTTTCCATCTGAAATAATAGTTTTGTTCATTATTTCAAATTAAAAATATTTTTTAAATTTATAAATCACAATATGTATGCTTCTCCTTCCTGTAATAAATCTTGTTATAAATAATCCTGTGCTCAATTGTTTATATCTGCGGACATAACACTATATCTCATTGATTGCAAATGTAACCTGCTTTCTAATACTGAAGACTGCAATTCTTAAAGAAGTGCATTATATAACTTGAGAGAAATGCATATGACCTTTTTCTACATGCCAGAAAGATGATATTTGGATAGCTGTTTTTTCAAAAAGACATCTTCCAATAGCCTCAATAACTAGATAGTTTTATAATGGGAAGATGGCCTCCAAGGCATTCAGTAGTAAGCAATTTAGGGCTTTAAAGATCAATGCCAACACCTTATTCCTGGTAAGCAAATGGCAACTAGTGCACAATCTTATCCAAAAGTAATAGTTTGCCAGGTACTCTGCCTGGTTTTAAATTTTTAGCAACTACAGAAAGTATTTTAATGCAGTGGAGGGTACATAAGTATTGGTGAAAGAGGGAGAGATACTGCAAATAAAATGAAGCAAATTATATAATAGTTAGACTTGTTTTGAAAAAATATCATTAGCATCCAATCCAAGCCATGCAGTTATAATTCTAGGAAAAATACAAGAATTGTTGGATTTAAAGTTTAAACCAGAAAATATACATAGTTGCTATATACCCATTTTAAATATATTGGCAATTTCAAAATAATTTCTATTACTAGAAGTATATATGATCATACAACAGATTAATGTACAGTTTAATGATGGACATTTCATTTTCATTGTTGAATATTCAATAAAAAATTAATCTTATTTAACCCATGGTGCTGAGATATTCTTACCACTGGCAATCTATATGGTTGGTCCTTCAGTAAATGTAACAGTCCAGATGGTATCTATTTGAAATGCTTAAAGAAATCAGATTTGATTTCTTAATAAAAACATACAATAAGAATATCAATGTTGTGATGGGCCAGCTCAAAAGTTCTATTCCTACTTGAATGTTTATGAAAGGTCATGACTATAAAACAGTCTATTTAAAGGATTTTTAAAAAATTAGGACAAGAAAATTGCCAAGTAACAGATTTTAAAGCAATTGGGAAAAAAATCTGCCAGCATGATGTTCTACCCAATTACAGCCCCCATCACTGCAATAATTGAGTACATATACCTTAATTCATCCTTCACCACCTTAGTTATCCTTTCCTTCCATTCTTCCAGTATTATAGACTACTTAACAAACCTCGGTCTTAATATAGGTAGTCCTCAACTTATGACAATTGAATTCAAAATTTGTTGCTAAGCAAGGTAGTTGTACATTGTCTCATTTTATGACCTTTTGTTGTCAGTTGTTAAGTGAATCACTATAGTTGTTAAGTTAGTAACGTGTTAAGTGAATCTTGTTCCCCATTGACTTTGCTTCTCAGAAGGTTGCAGAAAGTGATCATGTTACCCAGGGTCACTGCAACTATCATAAATAAGTTAATTGCCAAGTACCTGAATTTTGAACATGTGACCATGGAAATACTGCAATGGTCATAAGTGTGAAAATTGATCATAAGTCATTTTTTCAGTGCTGTTGTAACTTCAAGTGATCACTAAATGAAGTGTTGTTAAATCCAAAGTATGATAATTTTAGTCTGGTCGTTTTACCTCCACTGTGGATTGATTTGTTTGATGATTTTTTTTAAAAAAAATTGGCTCTTCATGGTAGTTTCAGCAGTTTAATAGTAGATTTCAGAAGCAACTGTATTCTTTCTGTTTCCTCAAAATCTAATTTTCATACAATGTCACAGAAAATGTGCCTGAATGTTTATATTTGTAGGTCCAGACACATCATAGACATCTCTTCCAAGAGATACTCTACCATGTGCTAGCCTATGGTGTATTTACTCCTATTCCTTTACCGTTGACAGCCAATCTCATCTCAGAAATGCAGGAACTAGAAAGGAGGAAATTATTAAATTAACTTTAAAAAGATTAAAAACTTTAATAAAAACATAGATTTATAGAGTTCTAGCCCAATGCCAAGCCACATTGATAGCAGGGATACTTCTGACCAGCAAGTCAGTGTGCAGGTTGGTCCCAGAGGGATAGCTATAAAAGATGGATAGCTGTTTGAATAGAGCCACATTCACAGTAAATATCCTTGTTCTCTAGGGAAAACCCATTTTTCTATGCGGTCCTTAGTTCTAGCACAGTCTATTTAAACATTCTAATGGTGGGTAGGAATAAAAGGGAAGGTGCTGAGAAAAGCAAGATGGGTTGGGCTGGTAGGATGTGAACTACTGTGACATCAGTAATGGTGACAGAGAAAGGAGGGAAAGTAGAAAAGATGTTGACATCAGCGGTGCATGGGATATATTGTGTTTGGAGTTGCTGAGACAACTGAGAACACATATACAGGCCATTCAGAAGAGGCATCATGTTTATTTTTGAAGAAGGAAAGACTGAAGCATGCTGGCTTTGCTCCAATTGCTCCATAAAATTCAACCAGAATCATTTCAGGTTCTTTCAATTCAGGGCAACAAAAACATTTGGGATTTTACTTCTGCTGCATTGTGACAGATCTAAAAAAGTTTAGAACTCATTGAACATGAAGTATTTGTTTTGGACTGAAAATAAAATTCATATCTGATTTGTGCATATTTCTAATACACATTAAAATAATATTGTTTAAATTGTAAAAGTAATTATTTTTAAATAAAAGAACAGCAAATAAAATATGTGAGTTAGGATTATTGGAATCAATTATGTAGGAAGATGATAGACTCCCTTTTAATAGATGTATTCAAACAGAGACTAAGTACTTAGTTTTAATTTCTGTAGTTATACTGGACAGGGGATTGAATTCTATGTCCGAGGATTTCTTCCAATATTCTAATCAAGTAGCATAGGTAAACAAGCAGTTTATGAAAGCAGAACTATTAACATTACCTATATAAAATCATAATCATGTAATCAAGAGTCTTTTTCTTTATTTCTTGTATTTGTTGTGTAAACACACACATTTGACACAGTCTATCCTGGCCCCATTAGAGGGCAAAAAAGTTATCCGGAGTTTAGACTGTTATGTCTGAAAATAAAATGGCTTTTTGGTTGCCAAAAATGAAGTCTTTTTTTGGCTCTCTTATTCCACCACAGTATTAAAACCCCTAATTTGCACTGCTTGCAAACTGCACTTGGGCTCCTGTCCATGTGAACCAATGTAACTTTGTAAACTTAGAACACAGTAATCTTTTAAAATACTAAAGTTAACATTATGCAGTAAGCTTGAATGACTATTTTTGAATCTCTCTAATACACACTTGTATAGAGTAGATGCAAATCAGAGCTACAAAGGGTGTGATGTACTCACTGGCCTACTCTGACTATGCTTCATTTAATTGTAGATTAATGAATGTAGAAATGGATGTTCTTGGAAGCATGTAGTGAGATTATAGCATTTTCCCTCTGCCTCAATTTCATTCAGACTTCCTCAAAAACTTGAGGCATCTAAGGAGACATGATGAAAGATAAACAAGATGTTAAAACATCAAATGTGTCTGGCAAAAGCTTAGCTAGACTGTCATATTCCAACACCAAAACAAAATAAAGCCAAATCAAATGGGAATGCTTGGACTAAGTTTGCACGTTATTTAGTTTCCTTTTCTTCAGTATTTTATTTATTGTGAATTGTTTTAAAAATGGCTAGTTTACAGTAGCTTGGATGTGTGAATTCAGCCAGGGTAAATCTGGTAAGATTCTTCCAGCTAGACTTGGAATAAAACAGAACTCCTTATATGTTCATTTTTTAAATACAGTTCAATTGTGTGGTGCTATATCAAGAAACATCCTATAATTACAAAAATGAAATATAAATAAACAGACTCAGACACATGCAAAATAGTAATTTAAGTAATAAACACATAATGCCAAATGAATAATAATTATTAACCAACTGCTAAGACAGAGGTCAAATTAAAACCAACACATGCAGTTTTTGCTTAACTCTGAAGAAGGAAGTTACTACCCTGCCCAAACTTACAACCGTTGCAGTGTCTCTGGAGTCATGTAAATAGCTGATGGGTCACCTAAAATGTTGTGTAGTATCAAATTTGATATGTGTGTCATAGATAACACCATTGCTAGTCTATGGTTTGTTTGTTTTTTTGCAAGCAATTTTGTCAATATCTTTTTAGTACAAGAACTCCTCTTTGTCACTCATATCAAGTATGACTTATCTATTATATTTATATCTGGCCTTGGAAGTTGGTTAACATGACTGGTCCCAAATCAAAGCTAGCTTTCATGACAGAGATAACTACAATTTACAGTCTCCCAATTTCTAATCTAGTACTTTCCATTACTGGTTCAGCTCCACTTCTACTTGTGATGAGGTAATATATATTAGCATTTTGCCATAGATTCACTCTTCTGTGAAGTTTTCACTTGCAGAAGAATGAAACTGATGTAAAAAGTGATGGGAAGAATTAAGATCTCAGAGATGGATAGACAGAAATTACCTCAATTTGACATTAAGACAATCGGTACTTTTATTAATAAATATAGAACAATCTATACTTGGGGTATATGTTCGGTGGCTGGTGGTTAAAGACACTGAGCTTGTCAGCTGAAAATGCTGTATGACAGGGTGAGCTCCTGTTCCTTGCCCCAACTCCTGCTCACCTAGCAGTTCGAAAGCATACAAATGCAAGTATATAAATAGGTATACTTTGGTGGGAAGATCAGTGTTCCATTCGCCTCAGCATATTGTCATGCTGGCCACAATCATGGAAATATCTTTGGATAAGTCTGGGTTCCTTGGCTAAGAAACAGAGATGAGCACTGCCCCCTAGAGTCCGAAACAACAGGGCAGAGGAAACTTTACCTTTATCTATACTTGGGAAACTGTTCTTTTTAGGCACATATCCAAATATTGTTGAACTAAGTATGAGCCTTTAATATCATTAATGACAATATTGGAAGTTCATGTCAATGTTCTGATACCACTGAAAAGGAAGATGGGATAATAAGAGTTGTGAAACAATGAGGTTCGTATGGAACCAAATGTTATTATGTGTATCTTGCCCAACTTCTAAGAGTATTAATATTTTGGTAATACATGTCCTCAGCAAAACAACTGGTTGATGTAAATGTTTTTGTGTAATGGAACATATTATTTTAAGCTCTGTCATCAACAGTTTTTCCAAGAAACTGTTTTTAATTAGCTACCATACTTCATTTAATATAACGACATACTTCAGCAGATTTGTACATAACAGTTTATTAGGTTTATTAAAAATCTGGGCTACAATTAAGGTACAGGAAATCAATTATAGGTTAATACTGTCTTATACAAAAAGTAGCCCTTTGAGTACCCCAGTTATAAAAATCCAGTAAAAGTGTTAACGTAGATAACAATATACTCCTAAAATTGTAATTATATTAGTTCAAAAAACAAAAGACAAAGACCATTTGTGATGCAAACCATTTTTCAGGTTCCCAAAACCTTGATAAATTCATTTTTTATTCTAGTCTGAATATGAATATTCAAATGTAGCTTAGTTCATGGAAATAGGTACAGATACTTTGTTATTCCTATATCAGGCGCAGACTGGAAAACATCATTCAACCTCATGGAAATACACTGTTAAAAATTTTTTAACCTTACTTTAAAAGATACAATTCAAATTAGTAAATTACAGCTGTTCAGGAAGTAAATTTTAGCAGTATGGATTTTATAAGTGATCATAAAAGCCAAAATTCTTAAAATGTAGAACCACAAGTAAAGACTAAGTTAAAGTATATAATGGTCTAATCTCAGCAAACAATACATGCAGATGAATAGAATATGTTTAAAAATATTGAACAATTCTTTAAAGTCAGTTAATGAAAACTAATGTACAGTAGGGTTCGGCTTATGCTAGTTATTTGACACACACATTCACATTTTCATAGGTTTTCAAAATACTAGGAATTTTTCTCCTTGCTATTTAATTATAATTACAGCTTCATACAAATAATACCAAAATCAACCCAGATCTAAAACATTCTAGGTAAACAAGTGTGTTCAAATCAAGTAGCATAATTTAACCCAGTAATATAACCTATGTAGGACACAAAAAGATTGTAGATATTACTTCTGAACAGAAGGTGTCAAACAATTATCGTCTTTCCAAGGGAAAAAAGTACTATTAGTGGAAACTCTTCAGACTAGTATTATATTTTCCAAATAAATTACAACTTCCAAGTGAAATTTTTCTGTGATCCCCTTTTAAAAATGAAAATACTGAATTAATAAATGGCTGAACATTTTTACTATGTCTATATATCATTCATTGCAGACTTAAAGGAATATAATTTGGATTTTATTTTGGAACATAGTAAATGCAGACTAAAATATGGACCACATCCGGTTTTTGATAATCTGGGTGTAACAACAATCAAGATGAAAATGCCATGACTTTTTTTTTTAATGTTGGAAACCTGGAGGACATTAGATTAAGTCACCCTCTTTCCAGTATTTCCAAGTACAGTATGCATGTCTGTCAGTATGTATGTACATCATGGGTATATTGGGATCATCAGGGAGTAGCTAGCGCGCGCTCACCAAACCGGTTGTTAAATCGGTTGCAGCCCACCACTGGCATGGTCACTTAACAACTATAAATGAATGAGCCAGGATGATAGTCATTGAGGGAAGCAGTTATGTAATGTGTCATTTAACAACTGCTTCACTCAACTAAGATTCCAGGCTCAATTATGGTTGTAGGTCAAGGACTACCTGCATATAAAAAGAGTAACATTGAAAAATTGCAAATATTATCACTTATTTTCTTGTTGGTCAGTCTGCACACAAAGGTCTCTATTCCAAAAAAATGAACATTCCTTTTAAGACTTTCTTTAGTCTTTCCTATGAAAACCTTAACAAAGACATTTCAGAGAAATAGGCAAGACATAATATTTATAGAGTAAGTAACTTAAAGGGACTTTCAAATAATCATGTCAGCTGTAAAAAGGAAATCAAGGAAAATTAAGAATAAGAATTTAAACCATAAATATAACGTGGATATAATCAATTTATATATCGAGTGCAAAAAACAAGAACAATTTCTCAGTGGCATTAGTCCAGAGTATCAGATGAACAACAGGCTAGGGAAAATCTAAACTTTGTGTAGTCTGCATAGTAAAATCAGCTCAATAAAGTATCAGTAAATCATAACAAACTCATATTGTGTTTAACATTTTAAAAAGATTAAAGAAATCTTATCTGTTTACAAAATAGAGATTACAATAACTATATATTTGTTTGCTGAATGTTAACAGACCTTCCAAGTCACAGCAGGATAAGTAGTAACTCTCCCCACAAAATAAGCTCTGTGTCTTAAATCTTAAATGATTCCAATTAATGAGTTATCTGCAATGATGAAAAGAGAATATTTACAAGTTACATGGTCATGCATACTTTTTAAAAATGAATTATAACTAATATATATAGCAACAATGATAACCAAACTTTTCAATTACAAATCTGGGAAGGAGCAATACTTATAGATTCCTCCTACAAATTTTACTAATAAAATAATAATGGCACCATTTCATAAGATACATATTATAAAGAAAGATTACAGCATAAAGATCACAGGGAATCACAAGAGTATATTGTTCTAGTCATTTTTCCTCTCTTTTTGTTAGCTTATGTTAACTCCCTCCTGTTCTTTGCAATGTTTTGCTAAAAAAAAAGGAAATATCCCCAACTATGTATGCATACACTGTTTTTTTGGCTGCCATAGTAGTTATATTCCTTTGTTACAGAATGTTACTGCATAACATTTACTGCATAACATTCTGTGATGACCATGGCCATGCCTGTTTTTATGACTGTTGCGGTTGTCATTAACTATGCACTAATTAATTATTAAGCATATATCACATTCATTAAGCAAACGTGGCAGCTGTTAAATGAGTCCATTTTTTCAATGGGCATTTTTTTTTGCTGGAAATGGGAAGTGAGTGTTGAAAACCAACAATACAGAAAATAATGGTCATGTGACTGCAGGACACTGCAAATTGTATTCATGTCACTCTTAAAGTTATCTAAAAGTCAAAATCATGATAAAAAGATCAAATCTGTAATACTGTAATTTTCAAAGCAATATTTTATATATATATGCTAGTTTTAGTATAAAAGTGTTCTTACCAAATAATTCAAACTTTGTATCCATGAGTTGCACTGCTATCTCCTTCACCTCCCTGCCGCTGCATCTGCATCTGTGCCTGCATCCTTGCAATCATTTCCTGCATGCGGCGAAGCTAAAACAAAAGAATATCATTTCTACATTGGCTAGTCATTCCTCCAACTAACGGAGTGCATTGGCAGCTTACAATAAAAGTATTAAACCAGAATGTCCTCAATTAAAAAATGAGATTTGAATCCTTCATCTAAAACTATGGTTCTTTTGTAGAATGTGGTAATGGTATCATGAGGCCAAATTCTTTCCCACTTTTATCCCCTATTCCTCACAACTGATGTGCAGTACAGGTAAGAAACCTCTGTCTATCCATATATTTTTGAATTATAGACACCATCATATCTCCCAGTGGAGACATTGGTTATAGATGCTGAGAACTAGAATTCAGCAACTGGGACTGCATTTTTCAGTTTCTGGTTTGCTTTTTACATTTTTAGTATGATGCTTAAACAAATTCTATAGAGATCAATGGATTCAATTCACATGAATTAACATCAAGGCCATTGTGAAATAAGATTTTCTTTCATTATACAAATCTAAGAGATACAAACCAGGTAAATTATACTAACAGGCAACAATAAACCATTGTCTGAATGACAAAATTCAGTATTAAAGCAACTATTAAAGCAGGATACTATGATATCTAAATCCAAATAAAGTTACCAGTCCATATTTGGTTATTAAAAACTGGGAATGAAATATCTTTTGAACTGAATGGCTGCAATAAACTGATTTTAAGTCACCAATATCAATTTAAAATTCTGTATTTTGTATACCTGAAGAATTACCAAAGTATGATGAAGTTTCTTTAAAATATACTTTTAACTAGGTAGTTGCATGAGATTACTTTCCCATTGCTGCTATATAAATCTAATCTACACAGCATTCAGGATTTTTTGACAAAATACATAAATTCAGTTTTTACTCCAGCTTGGACATCAGTCATAGATCACATCAAATTAGCGCTCCCTTTGAATCTGGATTGAACCATACAGATCCATTTGCCTCTCCTTTCTCACTAATTATAAATGAAAACGAATGAATGGCTATAATTGTTTTAATTTTAAATTTATGGCCCCTGCAGAACGATACTTTTCAGAGAATTCAGATTGAGAAGTGTTTGTGCTAGATGCCTTTAAATTTTTAATTTTTCCTTAGAAAAGCTAACTAATAACTCTGTAATTTCTTGGCAAAATCCTGCTGAATAATATTCTGTCCCTGTGGTATAGGAATTCAGAACTGTTTATGAACATAACGGTTGGAAGATCCAAAATACAGTATATATATATATATATGTATATATATTTTAAAATGAAGTTCTTACTTCTGCTTCCTTTTCAAGCAAGATTTGATCTTTATTAACTTCTTCATCTTCAACTTTTCTACATTTAGGAGAGGGGGAAAAAGAAGGCTTAGAAATATATAGCAACATTTTCTTAAAATCAGTGTCTTTTTAAATGATAAAAAGCAGGGGTGGGATTCAAATTTCTTAACAACCAGTTCTGTGTGTGTGGCTTGGTGGTCATGTGACTGGGTGGGTGTGGCTTGCTGACTGGGCATGGCTTGGTGGTCATGTGACTGGGTGGCCATGGCTTGTATGTAAATATTATATTTATGTAAATATTTATTTTTTTAAATAAAAAGAGCAACTTTTACCCAAAAGCAGGCAAAGCAGGCAAAGCAGGCAGACAGATTGAATTGCTCACAGAATCACAGATTCACTTAGAGATCTATCTATCTGCAATCGGCTACCTGAGTCTGCACTGAAAAGCTTCAGTCCAAAGGAAGGTTCGGCTCTACTTTTAGATTAGCTGGAAAGCAAGAAATCCAAGGATTTCCAGCTTTCTAGCTAATCTAAATCTCCCGGCAGAGCAGAACAGCTGATGGTCGGGGGGGGGGGGGAATAGAAAAAATAGCAACTTACCAAACCAGGCAAGTTGGATGGCTCGCATGCCAGGTAAGGAGTGAGTGGGTGGGGAGGGGCGGGGCCAGCCAGTGGAGCGATTTGCTGGTTCTCCGGACTGCGGACAATCATGTGCAGCATTTGCAAGAAATCATCAGCTGTGCTGCTTGGACAGCTGACAAGCGCTGCACTCGGGTGCGCAGTGTTTGAAAATCCTCGTTTCCTGCTTTTTCAACCTCAGCTGTGCCGCGCAAAGCAGCTGAGGAGGGAAAAGCAGGGAATAAAGGACAGCCTAGAGCCCGGACAGGCGGGTAGGCCAAACACCGAACCGGTTTGGTGTCAGCTGCTTTTCACAGCTACAGGTTCTATAGAACTGGGCCGAACCGGTAGCATCCCACCCCTGATAAAAAGGTAGGTTCAATAATTAATGAAAGAATTATTACACTGTTAAGTCAGAAAATGAAATTTTATTATTTAAATTATTAAAACAGAAATTAATATATTAATGAAGCTAAATTTTACTTTCTACATATGTTTCAGATACAAGTACTATATATATGCCCCTCACTTGAGTAGTGACAATGAAAGAACCAAGATGTGATTTGTATATAAATGTCTTCGTGAGGAACGAAGCTATTCTATTAGGTGACACAAATAGGTGGGAATGAGGTAGGAAAATACAGCAAAAATGATTGGAGATCAGATACTTCAAAATGAAAAAGTATAGGTATTGTTTGAGAGTATCTGTTTAGAAAAATATCTATTTTGAATATGTGGTTTAAGTATAAGTCTATTTAAACGAATATACAACAAAGGAATGACTCTAAAAGCTTGGCTAATTTGATTGTTGATGATATAAGAGAGTGATTGAAGGCTAAAAGGATAAATGTTTGCAATAAAGGACTGATTACTATTGGGTAGGGTGAAGAATTTATCTTAGGAAAAATATGGATGTGTAAAAAATGAAACAAAAGAAATTCAAATATAAGTAGAATAATTACAGAAAGGAAAAGTTCAAATACATTGTTACGTATGGTTGGAGAGTATTTGACATATATTAAAAATTGTAGCAATCAAAACTTGACAAGAAAACCTGAAATATAATAGAACAGTAGACCATTTAGTACAGTGATGGCGAGCCTTTTTGTTGTGGTATGCCGAAAGTGCACCCACAATAGCATGCATGCGCCAGCACCCACAATGCAATGCACCCTACCCCCCTGCGCATGTGCACGCAACGCCCCTGCCCTGCCCCCTTACCTGCACTGAGTATGTGCACACCTCCCAGCTGATTTTCGGCCTGTTTGAGGTCATTTTCGCCTTCCTGGAGGCTTGAGGGAAGTATTTGGAGGCTGACAACGGGCCCATTTCAGTACTTCCGGTATTTCCAGTTTTCTGGCCTCCCGAGGCTGCAGAGGCTTCCCTCAAGCCTTCATGAGGGCAAAAACGGCCTCAAACAGGCCAAAAATCAGCTGGAAGGAGCACGCATGCGCAGGCAGGTAAGTCTGGCTGGGGCTCACGTGCCCGCACAAATGGCTCTGCGTGCTGCCTGTGGCACATGTGCATTAGGTTCACCATCACAGATTTAGTAAGAGATACTTACCTGCCACCCTTTTTAAGTCTTTCAGAACGGAAGTTCTCATAGTGAAGATCTTGAGTCACTTCTTGAAGATCCTGCATATGAGTGCTGGAATGACAAAAAAACAAACCTATGGTATAATAATTATTTAATACAGCACAACTAATTTTATAAAATAAAAAGTTATGCATTAGAAGCAGTGAAATGGAAAACAGGATATAAAATTTGACTAACCCAATGGGTTAAACATACTCTGAAATACATACATCCTACAATGTTATTGCTGCCCAAGCCCTTTGATAGTTATATAACATAACTTCATACATAACACAATCATTTTTTAAAGTATGTTATTTCTCCACAAATAGATGTATGTTAGAAATATGAACACCATCAAGGGATATTTTATCATGAGTGGTGGACATGTAAAAAAACTAAAAAAGATGGATCCAAATACATACTTCGATACAGGCGCTTTGAAAGATTAATATTAAATTTAAACCACAACTTTTCATTTCAGGATTAACAGGCAAATATTATTCTATGCAGAGATGGAAAGATTTGACATTATGGAAGAATGGTAAGTTAAGTGAATAGATTTTGCTGAAATGGATAAATTAATTTCATTACAGAAAAGGCATTATCTACATTTACTGCTGTTGCAAGCCTCTTATAGACGTTTGCATACAAATTTAAAAAAATGAAATTGTGACTTATAGTTTTGATATTTAGACAAAATGGATTATAGAAAGAATAAAATGATGTAACTTTAAAGGTCAAAATGTATTTGTCCTTATAGCTGTTATGAAGAATATCTGAAGCCACTGTTTTGTCTTTTTCTATTTTTAACTTTTTTTTTGTTTCTTGTACTTTTTTCTTTTATTGTTTATTGCTTTCTTTTTTCCTTGTTTACTTCTATTAATGTGTTACCTTTTACTTTCTTATTTAAAAGTGTTAACAAAATTATACTCATGAAGATGATATTGGAGGTGAGGAGAAGAGATGCTCTTTAACGAACAATTAGACAAGAAAGGGTGAAATCCCTGTGACTTAAGAGATGAAGAAATGTGGGAGAGTCTTGATTGGGCAGTTAAAAGTGGCAGTGGGAGATTTGTACCTTCAGACTTGCAAGATTCTATCAATGCAGCCTTACAATAAGATATATTGGAATTATTTGCCTCTAATTTTATTTCCTGTCTGGTTTATCTGGAAAGGCTAATACGTGAAGTCTCACTTAAGAGACTATGGATGATTCACTTTGTAGTAAAAAAAGGTTGTAAAAGTGGGCACAGTCACATGGTGCCTCACTTCACAATCTCACTCCTTAAGAATTAATTTTCCAGTCTCTGGTCATAGGTTAAGAACTATCTGTATCTCCTGTTTAACAGTTGAACAAAAAATAATGATCTTGCTTTGTATTGTATGGGAGATAAAAATAAAGTGAACAATGACTGAAGTATAGGGATAAATGCAATTTACTTACATCAGCATGGTTCTTAGTTTTAAGAAGTCATTATGTTCTGGATTTTCCACTTCAACAACACCCCAGGGATAAAGACGACCTCTAACTTTTTTACCCTTAGCTTCAATTAACTGATTGGACCCCACAACACAAAATGGAATGCTGGTCTGAAATTGAAGAGAAAAATAATCTTACAATCTCACTGTGCTTTGCAATTAGAAGTTTGATAACAATCAACACTAATTTAAATTTCTGAAAAGAAAGTCAACTATTTATTAAAAATACAAGACATGCCATTGACTAGAAACTCCTTATGGACTTTTTTCATAAAACAGCAAAAATGCACTTATGGTTTGTAGTTTTGATGATTAGACAAATCAGATTATAGACAGAAGATTTACGTTGTAACCATACTGTAAAAGGTAAGTTTATAATTGTACTTATAACTGCTGTAAAGAAGATCAGAAGCTATTTCTTTGTATCTTTTTCTTTTCTATTTTATTTACTTTTTTATATTTTTCTTTCTTTTTCTTACATTAGTTTTTATCTTCCTTTTTGAACACTTTTCAATAAAATACATAATATCTTGTATCCTACCATTCTTCAGTTTAAAATTTCTTGTCTAACTTTACTGCTTTCATCCTTTCTCCACAATGATTTCTGATAAAAAATCTGGTTACATTCATTATCTTCTGTTGCCCTCATCTAACTCTAATGTTTCTGTTAACCATCTAAGTTTCTGTTATTGCCTCCTTGCATTCCTTTTCTATACTTTTAAAATGAAACTGTCTTGTTTTCACCTGAACCTTGGCCTTATATCTCTCCATGTGTGGCCTGCAGTTCTAGGTGGAAGTAAGGTGCAAAGAAAGCAAGAAAAAAAAGAACTCTCACTACAAGTTCCTGCTCTATACTCTGTCATTCTGACTGTATAATATTTAAAAAAATGCAATTCAAATTTGGATGACAACATATTTTCCAATCCTGAGATCAAAATTCCTTTTGGTGTTAAGAATTCTCTTCCTTCTGAGATTAGAAACAGATTAAAGACAATAGCTTTGATAAGCAATAATAACAAAGCAAAAATAATAAATTCTTGAAATTAAATAAGATGACAGGATAAACTATTTCTGACTTAATACATTGTCCTTACTTTCAAAAGTCTGGTCTGTTCTTTAAAATCTTCATCTTCGTCTGATTCCGCATCAGGCAAGTGATAAATCTTGATGCTATGTTCTTCAATTTCATCCAAAATCTGACCCCAAAGGACAGTAAGATATAAATAAAACATGGGCTGAGATTCAACATCTGCAAAATCAACAGGGATTTTTTGCTTGCTTTTTATGTATGTTTTTTCTACTTACACCCAAGCAGCTTCTGAATACCAGGAAACCATATTCCTAGAATTACACATTGTACAAAGTGCTGCAGTTGGAAGAGCCAGCAATTATTCCACCTCACTTCAAAAAGTTAAAGCTATACACACTACCTATAAGTTCACAGTGTTCATTAGATTCTGACCAAAGGCCTATTATGCCCAAGATATAAGAATCGTGTTTTTCTTTAGGCTAGGCTTAAATTAAAGGGAAAAAAACTCACCCTTTTCTTCAGTCTTTCCCGCTCTTTCAGCGTAAGAGTATCAGCTTTTGCAATCACAGGCACAATATTCACTTTGTTGTGTATAGCTTTCATGAACTCAACATCCAAAGGCTTGAGACTAAAAATACAGATTATGACTTTCTAACATTTAGGCTCCTATTTCTTTCACACACAAAATCATAAAAATCAACAGAAGCAGTTAACATAGAAACTTAAACATTTCTAAAACATTCAGATTCTTAGATCAAATTACTCCTTTGTTTGCATCAAGGAAGCAACCTGCATTATTATTGTAAAATATAACTCAGTTTTTTAGATGTAACTCTGTAAAATAGAGAAGTTGTGATCTTGGCTACCATCTTAAGTATACCATGCCACATGGGCAGCCCCTGAAAAACTATGGCATATTCTGTCCAATATGCTGCAAATACAACCAAGGCCCTATTTTATACCAAACAAACTCAAACTACGATGCAAATTTTAGGTTTTTAAGCTAGAGACAACTTGCAAGTAAATACATTATTAACTATCAACCTTCTCCCCAGCTAGGAGTTATATATTGTGTACTCACATGCATGCATGCAAAATGTATAAAGTTATGTATGGGCATTGAAGGAGGATGATTTGTAAAGGTGGAAAGAGAGAGAAGTATAGTGAAGGATTTCATGTAAAGTAGATTTAGCTATATTTCCTTTTAATTTCATGCTTTAATTTCCTTTTCTATTTTTAATCCTTTTCTACATTAACATCTTTTCCTGCAAGAAAATAGCATAATGGGTATGTTTGTATGTACTTTTTATAAACAAACACACACACACACATATAAATAATGTGTGTGTGTGTGTGTGTGTGTGTTTTCTTAAGTTTTCGCGGGTACTTACATGTATGGCATTTAGCTTTGTTCGGGTATTTTCCCACGTCATAGTAGTGGTGCTTTTAAAGTTGTAGCAATGTTTCAGCAGAATCTCATCTGCCATCATCAGGCTTTTGTATATAAGTATATATGTATATATGTATATATACATGTAGGTCTAGGTGCGTTCAGGTCTTTTCCTGTGTAAGATTAAGAGTATCTTGGCAACGTTTCGGCGAGGTCCCACTCGCCATCCTCAGGCTAGTGCTTTCGGCTTTGCCGAAACGTTGTCAAGATACTCTTAATCTTACACCTAGACCTACATACCCGTACCCGTGAAAATCTACGAAAACATATGTATTTATTTCTGGTATAAATGCATCGATCCCTTATAAAGTACCTTTTTGGAATTGAATCCAAAGCACTGTTCAGTCATAGTACTTACCCATGACCAAATGGTGAGATGAAATAGAAGCAACAATGAACTCGATTATCCACAATATGCCGTCTATTCAAGCCACTCTCATCATGAAGATAACGTTCAAACTGCTCATCAATATAGGAAATAATGGTCCTGAAACTATTAAAACAAATATGAAACATGATTGTTTAAATGTTCATTATCAGAGATGTTTTATAGTTGTTTAAACCTAAGGAAATTATAATGTTTAAAAATAACAATTCCATAAACTAACTGAATTATTGGCAAAAGAAATGAATTGACAGGCATAAATCCCTTTGATGTTATATGTATAATACAGAAATAAACAGCCATTAAAAATGTTTTGTAATAATCCGAATCCCAACACCTTACAAGACTTTCTGCTATTTTCTATAGTTTTGGTTGTTAACTGTTCATCCATTAATGGTATCATTCTTATTCTACATATAACCCATTAACCTGGAGACTTTACATAAAAACATAGGAAATATGTAATTAAATTTAGTAATTCTTAACATTAAAGCTAAGAATTATAAACAATATAAATGTTTATATTATTACATTGTTTAAATAATTTAACGCATCCACTGCATACATACCAATCCCGACAATTAATAGCATCACCATATCCTGGGGTATCTACTACAGTCAGACGGAGTTTTACACCTCTTTCCTCAATTTCAACTGTTGAGGCCTCAATCTGTACAGTTCTTTCAATTTTTTCTAGGAAAGAAACAAAACTGGATTTCAGAAGATTGCTGACATCAAGCCTTTATGGCAGGATCAGGAATTAACAATTATTCTCAGTAGATAGTTGATTAAGATATACCTCATAGACAAATCAATTATGATGCTGCAACCCAATATATATTTTCAATTATAAAGTGTGTCATAGAATTATAAAGGAGAAATGTTCCTAGCCAATCTAATTCAAAAATATGGATATTACTCCACAGTTGACAACCCTATCTGATTTAGACAGAAGCATGATTTGAGATGAATGATTTTCTAATAATCCTATACATGTAGCTGATAAAAAGAAAAACATCCTACAACTGAAACAGCAAAATGATCAACACTTGTTCTGCAAGAAAAACTAATTGCAAAATGTAGATCAGATGGCAGATTTCACCAAAATTATTGCAATATATTCTGATTTCAATACTCAATAAGAATCATAAACACCTTTTTTAAAGAAAGATGTTTTACAATGAATACATTTGTGATTGAGTAAATTACATATATAGTAAAAATGGTCAAACAACTTCTAAAACTAAACCCACGAAAACTTCACATAATTTTTTTTCACTAGAATCCATTTAATTTTTCTATTGCAATGTTAAGAACCAATAAGGTAAGACTGTACTGAAAGGACAAAGTTAATCTTACCAGCTGCTCCTGGGATTATCCTTTCTGGGTAGAGATCTGTTAAGAACAAGCTGTTTATTAGAGTAGATTTTCCCAATCCAGATTCACCTATTAAACAATATAAAACACAGTTAGAAACAAGCTTAATCATAAATAATTACCTTAACTATTTAAATGGACTATTATTACTCATTGAAATTCTGCATTGAAGTCCATATTTACTGTTCAGATTTACGCATTTTAAAACTAAATAACTTTTTGATTATAAATCTAAATTTTTGAATATTCAATTATAAGTTATAGACCATATGATGAATTCTTTATATAAAAGGCTCTATGACACAGCTCTTCGAAAAATTTATCATTCTGAAATATTGATGCATCAATTAAACAGAATAATTTACTACAAGTAATTTTTAGAAATTAAGAGTACATTTTACTACAATTGAACTGGCATCTTGAAGAGTAATAGTGCATATGTCAATTTTAAAAAATTGTAATAATCTTACCAACTACCATAAGAGTAAATTCAAAGCCTTTCTTCACAGACTTCCGATGAACCTGGTTTGGAAGGTTTGCAAATCCAACATAACCAGGGGTTTCTGGATTTGCAAACTTTTCAGCAGGCTGTTGCTGAAAAGAAAAAGAGAATACTAAAATTAAATAAAATTGTATAATTATTTTTTATAAATAAATAATTTTATTAAATAAAAATTATTGAGGAAATGGTTACAGATGTCTTTATATTCACTAAATTTAGTCATTTGGTGTTATTTGAAAAGTATACCCTGTTTCTCCAACAATACGGCCTCCCCCAATAGGAAGTCCCAGCATGTTTTATAGGCATGAAATGAAATTAAGCCCCTCCCCCCAAATTAAGGCCTATATTAAAACTTGCGAAATGGTGGGGAATGGTGGGGAGGCTTGCCGTTAGGAAGTACTTTTGTTGCACACCTGGATATGGTGCTGCCTGCGTTGACCCTGATACGAAGTGCCCCACCAACGCCAAGGTCAACATCCAAGCCGTCGCTGCCCGCCCGCCCAAAGATGCAAGGGGGGGAATTAAGTCACCCCCGAAAAGACAGCCTAGCCATTTTTTCGGGGCTCAAAAAAAAATAAGACCCGGTCTTATTATATGAGAAACACGGTAGTTCAATAATTGGTTTAGAATTAGTAATTACTAACAAGCTATTGGAAGAAATTGTTAAAGTTACAGGGGGTTGGACTAGAAGACCACCAAAGTCCCTTCCAACTATTCTTCTATATTCTACTTTGACTTTGCACAACCATTATTGACCCAAATCTCATGTTCCATTTATTTCACATTGGTTTCTGAAAATAGAACATATTGTGACTCATCTCCTAGGAAATATTTAAGTATAACAGAAACATGATTTTAGTTTCTGATTAACTTGGTAAAAATAGATTAGTTTTGACATTTCTGAAATGAGTCTATTTTTATTACATGATATAAACAAATTGTATCTTAAATGCAGGGATACAAAAAATACTGAATGTATTATCCTTAAGAAAAATGAACTTTTTGTAGAAGAGCAGTCACAGCTAGAGGCTGCAGTTAAATGCATCATCAGTTTAGAGTCTTTAAATTGCCATAAGAGATTCAAATCCAGCCCCCTTAAATTCTGTGGGTTCTTATCTACCATCGATTTAGTACTGACCATTAATTGATCAGACTATTTTATATAGGCATGAATTTTGAGCTACAGTTCAAGCAATGGTCCTGATCCTTTTTGCTTGATATTACATGCAAAAATGTGAGGATTTAAAAAGCATTTATTTTCTGACTTTTGTTTCCTAACAATCAACTCCTTAAGGAATTCAACCATTATTAAATAACCTTCACTAGCACAATATTAATCACATTCTTTTAAAAATGTATCACCAGTAAAGCTAATTAATTTTTTAAATGTGTTCTTTAAATTAGAAGTTTTTTGCTTACCACATTAGCAAATATATTTATTTTATTGCAAATGTAATATATGGAACTAGTATAGAGTGTAGCAATATTAAATAGATGCATTCATGAATACATGACTAGCCACAAGATGAGTTTTTTGAGTATTTTCTTGCATAAATGTTAATTATCAAATTAATATTTAATTAATCTATTAATTATAAAAACCTACATCTCACATTAATACAATTCACATGCTCTAAAATAATGAAATATAGAATATAAACAATTTATGTATACAAATTGTCTATTATATGTGGAAATCAACAAATACTGATTAACAAAGGCATTCCTTACCTTAGACATGTTTCTATGAATTTGTACAAACTAAAAAAAACCAAACAAAGCAATATATTATTTGTTAGAAAAGATCTTATTGCATGTCTTATAATCAAGTTATGTTTGTACAGCAAACATACATGCATAGATATAGTTACATGGAAATAAAGCTAGTGAAGTTTAAGAGATTCATTTGTTGGTAAAAATATAAAATATACAAATTAGATTATTCTAGCCCATCACTCTGTTAAAGGGAAAAAACCCTGATTTCCAATCTATAATCAGAACTGCAGAAGTGTGAACTGAGGCTGGGAAACTTCCCAACACATCTAAAATTAATTTACTGAAACTTGCAGGAAGTTCAGGAAAACTGAAGCAGAATAATATTTCAGGTAACATTATTTAAGCGTTCAAAGCCTTTATTGTCATTGTACAACATATATACAATGAAATTGGTTTACCCTCTACTGGTGCAGTCCCTACAAGAATACAAGACAACATGAATTATAAGCATAATCCTTATACAAGTAGTTAGGAAAAAAATAAATTAATCATGTTTCCATATGTACGTCATAAAATTATGGGAAAAAAGAAAATAAAGCATAGCAGAAATTTTCTTATTTTTTCCTTCTGTGTAGTATGAATTTATTTCAAGATCTGCATGAGGATATTCTTTCTTTAAAATCCTATAATCCCTCTCCCCCTTCCCCACTCTCTCTCTCCTTCTCAGCAGTAATGCTCTATTTGTAATATACCTGTGACATCTTGTGACCTGCTGGCAGCATTACATTTTCTTTTCTATTTTTTTAAATCAAGCGACAGATCTTTTCTGAACAGCTCTGTATTTATGAATGAAGGCAAATATATATGTCCCAGGAAAATGTTGCAGAATCCAACCTGGTTCTGTCTCCAGATAACCAGAGTTGGAAGGGACCTTGTAGGTCATCTAGTCCAACCCCCCCACCCAAGCGGGAGACCCTACACCATTTTTGACAAATGGCAGTCCAATCTCTTCTTGAAAGTCTCAAGTGATGGCGCTCCCACAACTTCCGAGGGCAAGCTGTTCCATTGGTTGATTGTTCTCACTAGTCCAGGACCAGAGGTTTAGTCTTTTGATGTTTTGGATCCATTTTGTAGCCCATCTTCAGGGCACATCTCTCTAGCAGTGTGTGTCCTCAAGCTCCTAGAGAGAAGTTCCCTGAAAATGGGCTCCAGCACGTCCGAAAGCCTGGAAGACTAAACCTCTGGTCCTGGTAACTGGCCCAGATTGGATCCTGCAGCTCTGTACTTCAACACATTTTCCTACAGAAGGACTGCAGTTTGAATAAAGGAAAAATATTTTTCATGTTTTACATAAAGCTTAATTTTAACTTATAAGACTGGTCTGTTTCCCATGAATGTTCTGGTGACATGATCAGTAAGTTGCATTAATTTTTTATTATTATTTTTACTTTTAATCATCCGAATGACAACACAGAGCCCCATCTCTCTCACAATGAAGGCTAGGTGAAGAATGCCAGGTGAGACATACCCATGATGGTAGTAGTAACTTACAAACTACTATCTTAAGCCATAGGATAGGCTTAGAATATGAAGACCAAAAAATCTTTGAATGTAAGAAAAGTAAATAGTAAAGAATATGTATCTCTTGCATGACTATCAAAATATAACAAATGATGCAATAGAACTGAATGAAGGTGGCCTGATTTCACAGAGTAGAGCTAATGAAGATAGCATGCAAATGAAGATATAAGTTTAATTATGAATGAAAGGAGAACTATGTATTGATGCCATTTAGGTTGTTCTGGGTATGTATTAATTCAGGAATCCAATGGTAATATTTGCAGAAACAGAGCTGATTTTTATTTTATATTATAAATTGTTACATGACAAAAATGGAAGCGGGGCAGGGAGAATGAGATGAAAGAGTGCAGAAAAATGACTGAGCCATTCTGTGATCAAAGAGAGAATGAGAATTCTGACTATTTGGTGAGTATCTGCACAGAGGAATACATTTTGAATACATAGAGCAGGGGTGTCAAACTGGAGGCCTCTGGGCCGGATGTATCACATGCAGATCACACCCACCCCAGCTCTGCAAAGACAAAAAATGTTGGAATATGTCACATGACACGATGGAGTTTGACACCTGTGACATAGTGCGTAAGTCTATTCATGTCTACATACAGCAAAGAAATTAGTACTTGAAAGTAATACTGATATTTTTATAATGAAAAACTGAGTGAATAAGTAAAATAACAAAGGTAGTTACAGTTTCTGAACAGGCTATTTCAAAAAAGGACCTTGAGAAAAAAATATGTGAAAAAAGTGAAGAATACAAACAAAACAATAGCAAAAGGCAGTATTAAGTAATATACTAAAAACGAGAAGGCAGATTAATCACCTGCTAGAATGAATGGAAAAATTATATAATGAACCTCCCTGAAGCAGAATTACTATATGTTGCAAAGTGTTACAGAAACAAGTGGAATTAAATTGATGGGAGATATTAAAAATGATGCTGGATATGATGATGAAGGCTCTGGATGAGAAAAATATGATTTCTGGAAAAAACCCAGGGTGATTAATATATCGTGCATAATGAATTTATAGAGGAAAGGTTAATTTCAAGGAATTAGTTAAAGAGAGCAAAAACAGGACTACAAAAGGCATAGCAGATGCAGATCCATTTTGATAGAAACAGAACCCAAATCTTACAGTAAATGTTATATTTTATTACATAGAATAGTTATATAGGCCCATTTTTTTAAATATATTACATGACAGCTCTTTAAACTGAAAAAACATACTGACAACAAAGAACAAAAAGGATGTCAGTAATTAAAGTCAGATTTTCAGTATATATCCTTAAATGGAAAATCTACCATTACTAATTGTTCAAAACAAAAGCACTTAATAAAAAATTGAGGGAGTAAAATTAAGATATGAAGCTTTGTAAAAATCAGTTTGAATACAATCAGTCATTCCAGATTTCTTTACAAAGAGAGAGCCAGAGAAGGAAATCATCTGACAAAGGGTTCCTCTACAACAGAATGGACAAAGAAGTCTTTGAGAGGTGATTTTCTAACTTTAAAAAAATCTGGAAATACAGGGAACAACATAGTCCAGTGCCAGATATAGAAACATGCCATGATACTCGGCACAAAAGTAATAAATAAGGAAGAGAGAAAATCCTGACCCAGTATTATTATTGTTGGGAATTTTGCATGATTTGTAGGAACTGCATTGATGTTTTCAAATGCTTGGGAAAGAAAGATGCCCTAAGTTGTAAAATAATCAAGATTTCTTCTCCATCAACATCTCCAATGTAAGAAAAAGAATCAGTATCTTTCTTCTCCGAGAGGTAGACTCCCCAACATGTAGCCGGGAATGTCACTTAAACCGGGCAATTTCTGTTTCCTCTCCTCCCCGCTTATTTTAAAGTCTTTGCCTCTTTTCCACTTCTAACGGAGTCTTTTGCATCCAGGTAACTTTTAGCTGTATGGAAACCAAGCTATCGTGTGGCTGTGTGTTTGTGTGTGTATAGAATAATAGATCAAAATCCGATTCATGAAATCCTTTAAAATTTCTTAAGACTGGGGTGGACTTAAGACTGGCCATGCACCCGAGAATTTTTTCTTCTTCTTTCAACACCCAGCCTCTCTTCAACACACTTTTTTGGGAGACCAAGATGGAGCGGAAGAAACTGTGTTCAAATCATCTCCCTCCTCCCCCACGACTTTTTCCTATTATAATTTTTTTTGAGAGGCGGGATCCGTTTCCTAATCGTCCCCTGAAAACTGCGAAATCGCCTCTTGAATTTGGTAAACGAAATAACCCCGTTACACCACGGCCAACCTACCCGATTTTCCTCACTCTCCTTCCTCACTCTTCCACCCCCTTTTCCTTTACTGCACACCCAGGTGTGGCAAGAACGGCGGCTTTAGAGAATGGGGAAGGGAGGATGCAAATTAAGGAGCGGGACGGGCAGATTCTCATCCCGCCGAAAGAAGGCGTCTGCTCCCCGTTTCTCTCAGAATAAAAAACTGCAGCCACCGTCAACCACCGTATATCCCTGCAAGTTACCCAGTTCAAGAGAAATCGCACAGCAGGAGATGCCGCACCTGGGAGCCGCCCCAAAGTCGATCCTAAGTCGCTGCCGCCGCCGCCGCAATCTCCGAACCCGCCCAACAGCTTCACAGAGTCCAGCAACGCATGCGCATGCTTGAATCTCTTCACAAACTCAGCTCATGAGGCAAAATCGTTTCTCCTCCCCCCTTGAAAAGCCTTCACGCCTTCGCGCGCGACAAAAAAACGTCAAAGCTGCTGGTAACAAAAGCGCGTGCGCCATCCTCCTGCCAACACGTCTCCTCTTCCGGTTGCTATAGTGATTTTTTTTAAAAAAGGGCAACGATGGAGGAGGAGCTTCCTCCTTCAGATATTAGCGGGTGACGGATAGCTTCTTTCCTTCACCAAGATGGCGGCAAGCTCTTCCTATTCGGCTTAGGAGTGTTGCGAGTCCATGCGAGGTAGGTTTGTATACTTTTTCACATTCTGAACACAATAAAAGGAAGAAATTAGCAAGAGACTGAAGGAAAAATTGTTATGTGGACACCGGTTTTATGAAAGATTGTCGAATTAGTGAATAGGCCTTCAAGTGCGGTAACTCTTCGGTAGTCCTCAATTGTAACTCTATGGTATCTTTAATTTCAATTGGTTTCTGAAGGACACGTGATGTCTCTCGCGGTATTCTCATCCTGCACAGTGGAAAGATTTTAGGCAAATATATTATTAGAAGCATTTCTTGAAAAAATGTGAATCCTACCAATTTTGTCTTTGTATGTAATTCACCAAAAAGCGTGGACTTGACGAAGAATGTTGGCCTCGCCTTTCGCAGCCGTGTAGAAACGAATCGATCTTGTAAAGAAGAAACGCCCCGATACCTTTACAGTCGACATTAAAGGAGGCACTGTAGCTTTCTTCACTGCAGCATATCACCTAGCGAATTACAGTTTTGGAAATACTAATTGGCCAGCTGTTATGGACGCGTAATTTTTCTCTAATTGATGTATCGTTGGAGACTTCTAAAGCAGATAATTTAGCACTTGTTTGTACTAATTTTTAAATACGTGTACATCTATATGGTGTTAAAAATATAATCTTAATTGTGTGCTGTTGAAAATGACAAAATTTTGAGTTCTATACTAAATTGTACTCCCCCTAGAATGAGCAATTCATGATTCTTCCTGATATATATTGTACATTTATTGCTACATTTATTGAATATTCAATATAGGCAGTCCTTAACTTATCACAATTGGGACCAGAATTCCCTTGCTAATCAAGGTAGTTAATTGAGTCATGCCCAATTTTACATCGTGTTTGAAACCATTGTTTACTATTCAAATTAGTACTTTTAATTATTTTGATAAAGTTTCAAACTTAAAGTGGTGCCAGCCTCTAAAATGGCCCAAACAGCAGTTTCATATATGAAGCAATTATTTGGAATTTTCTAGTTCTAAAGCATATGATCGAGTTTAATATGGTGATTGATGTATTAAGTTAGAAACCAGGAGTTTATGAGTTCTGGTCCCACCTTGGGCACAAAGCCATCTGGGTGATCTTCCAGAAAATGATTCTTAGCCCTAGGAAGGAGACAATAGCAAGTCACTTCTGAAAAAAAAGTTGCCAAGAAAACTGCAGGGATTTATCCAAGCAATTACCAGGAGTCAACACTGAATTGAAGGCACAAAAATGCTAAACCCATGTACACTAAAAACAATTATATTGAATGATACCTTGGGATAATAGTATTTTTTTTTAAGAAGGCTATAGTTCTGCTTTGCTGTCTTACTGTAGCAGGGACTGTGATCTTGAGAAAAAACGAAGCAAGCTGGGACGGTGTGTCAAGGGTACATATGGCCAGCAGGGTCACCCCGGGTAATGAAGGTAATCTCAGCTGTCCAGCTAAAGCAAGCAAGATTCTATATTGGGCAGGAGTGATACAGGAAAATGCTGGAGGTGGATATTCACTTTAGTGATATTGGCAAAGGCATCACTTCATATTGCATAGAAGAAATCACTGGTAAACCTCTTCTGTACTTTATAAACACACACACACACAAATAGACAATATAAAATTATTGCCAATATAGAACTGTAGGATGGGCCCCTAAGGTTTGATGGCATTGAATATGCTACTAGGAGGAACTAACAAGCTTTTAATTCTGGTATGTCAATGGTAATTATGATACAGCTAGACTAAAGCTTCAAGAGATATCATTGCAGGAAAATAAAATTCAAAGCTGCAAAAGCAGAACTGGGAATGTGGAATCTAAGAAGCTGAATGTGAGAATGGTCAGCACAGTGAAAGATGAAGCATCTATACTTTGACATTTCCAGGAATGGGCTGGAAATGGATGCTTTTGGTCAGAAGATCATGATGTTTATCATTTAAGACCCATGCAAGAAAAAACAAGGAACAATATTGATAAAGTTCATGCTGCAGGGAAGGTGTGCTGCTTGTGGGTAGAAACTGGAATGCCGGTGTTAGAAATATTGAGGAGAAAACATAGTTAGACTATTTGACTTAGGAAATTAAAATAAATGAGGAGAATTACTAAAAGCTCAGTTATAACTGCAAAGACATGGCTATAAAAGGAAACTGGATGTTGAAACAAATGACAGAAATTGCAGATGAGAAGAAAAATCAAAGCCAAGAATGACAAAGATCTTAGAACAGAAAATATCAGTAAACTGTTAAAAGAGACAAAGAAGAAATACTACAACACATTTAAAAACACTAAGGATAGAAGCAGCTAAATGAGATCTCAATACTCAGAAGAGGATTCCAACTTTCAGTTGGAAAATGCAAAGCAAAAAGACTCTGTAAAGGTTCTAACCCAAGTATACCAGCAAATCTGGAAAACAAGAATTACCAACACATTGAGAGAGGTTAGTATAAATACCATATCAAAAAAAGGGAAAATAAGGAGACGGAGCGTTAATATACAGCATTCTTAATTTGACATGTTAGCACAATTATGCATAGAGTTATCCAATGCAGATTAAAGCTCTTCATTGAAAGAGAAATGCTGGATATTCAGGCTGGCTTTCGAAAAGGCCGAGGAACATGAGACATTATTGTTGATGCTTACTAGATCATTGAGAAAGCAAGCAACAAAAAGAAGTCAATGTGTACTTCATTGATTAGAAAAAGGTGTTCAAAATGTGCTTAGGAAAGTGGGAACCCAAGAGCATCTCATCATCCTACAAAATCTATGCAGAGGTCAAGAAGCCACAGTCCAAATGGTGAATGATCAAATAGAGTAGTTCTAGCTCAAGAAAAAAAAAATAACTCTGAATGTAGGCCACTTAGACATATTACTCTCCTTAAGACCCATGTGAAGACCTAGCTCTGGATAAGGCTCTAAGACTGAGAAAGATGGAAGGAAAGAGAAGATAACTAGCAACAAGGTGGATAGACTTAGTTAAGTAGTGATGAATACACTACTGGAAGAGCTGAAGACAGATCATCATGGAGAATATCTAAATTATATGATTCATAGGTGGCAAAAACTTGATGACATGTAATCAGATCAATTAAATTTTGGTTTTTAAAATTATTTTTCTTTTGGAGGCTTTTTATTTAATTCCAACATTGTCTTTCTTTTCTTCTTAGCTCATTCACTCTTAATATATTTGTTTTGTGATTCAATCCTTATTGTCTCTGAATTATAAATACCTCAGAATACTTCATTTGTTCTATATATTTTTCTATCCATTCAATATTCATTTATCACCCGTTTTTATTGTTAAAAAGAAAGAAAAAATAAAGCCATGCCTCTATCATGATTGTCGAAGGAATCACACAGTTGCTTTCTAATTGTGCCTAATTCTTTTTACTTAATAGTATTTCATAGAGATATAAAAATATAGACTTCTTGTCTACCAGCAATTGCATTACTTAACATTTGTCTATATATCCCCCCCTTTCAGTAAACATTTTTCTCTGTTTTGTTTTTTTTTGGCTATTATATCATTTGCACTTGTTCATTTTCTCTATAACATATACCTATTTCATTCTTTGATTTGTTAATTTTCAGATGTATACTCGTGATTGTAGCATTCAGGTTCTCATCCAACAGCTGGATGTCATTTGCATGCAAAAACTTCAGTATCCCTGATTCACCTCTAACTTCAGGATAAAAATTCTGTTTACATTTATTCATAATCCATTAAACAGTCAAAGGGGCATCATACATCCCAGTTCAAAGAGAAATAATTTATTACACACTCCATTAATTATGCACATACTTCTCCATTATATACAGTATTGCCGTAATCACATTCAAACTAATTTTCTACTCCATGTCACATGAAACATTTCCTAATTCAAGCCTATTTACTTTATTACATGTCTTAACAAAGTGATGTAAACTTTCCCCACATTCATACTTTTCTGAATTGGTGAAAAACCAAAATTCTGGGTTGCACACCTTGTGCAAAATATAAAGCCATATTGCACCTTTTTACAGTAATTATATATTGTGATTGCTATCTCTCATACTAATACAGGTAATGCTTGATTTATGAACAGAATTGAGCCTAAAATTTATGTTACTGTATTTTAAATTGTTTTATATATTGTGGTCCCACATTGTAGACAATGATAAGAAATATCTGTTAAATATATTTTTCTGTTTTGCCCAAACCAGGAATGTGTTTTATACTTTAGAACAAAATTGGATGGTAAATCATCACTGAAACCGGTGCAATCATTATTCCTTTACATCCTTTACCTAAAAAGTGCAGAGTTAACAGTGAATGAATGGTTGCATTCCAGTAATCATGTAGCTGGTTCTTGTCTTATTACATATAATATTTGGGTTGACATCAACAGGATTGTTAAAATGACTTTGAACAATCACAGTGCATTATATGCTTTGCTTGTTATATATTTTCAGTGTCTATAATATATCAAAGTATCAGTAATTGGATTCTCTAGTAAGGGAGCTAGTTAACAAAAATTATACCAGTCTGCAAGGAGAAACTTATACCTCATCTGCTGCGATATATTGTTGATGTATTGTCTATCAATACATGAATTAGCGTTTTTTTCTGAGAAGCAGGTAAGAAGACTTTGAACTATATTGTCAGAGTTCTTGGGGTTGTTTTGTTTGTAATATGATGTGATTACAGTATGTGCTATCAAGTCATTGCTG